TCAATAGAGGAAAGTCTAACTCATATGTCTGCAAAAACTCGCAGAAAAATTTCAAAAATTAAGAGAATTACGATTAAAATACTGCAAGGTGGTAGAATTTCGTGCCAATTTACCCCACTCCACTCTATTAGATTGGCTCTAATAACGAACTGATCCTGGCGATAATATCTTCGGGTATACATTCTCTGGAAGCCAAGCGTGAATATTGTCTTCACATATGGCAAGCGTTACCTTATCGGCAATACTCACATGCGAATCATAAAAGATCAATCATTCTCACTTTTATTTGGAGATCAAATATCAGTTATATAATTGAAAAGTATATGGTGAAATCATTATGTGAAGTACCTTTCGAAACGCTTTATCTTGAGAGATCAAAAACAGAGGTAGCTGCCTCAAAGCGGTAGCATTATTTGTGAATGATTCCAGCACTAATGTGACTTTCTGACTGTTATGAACAGTCATGAACCATGATTGAGGTATTTCACCAGCTCTCTAAATAAATGGGTAGTTTTCAAAATCCGAACGCTTTTTTATTGTTGCTTCTAAACCCAAAAGGGTATAGTATCGTTATTGAACCGTTCTGGTTTTTTAAAATACTTTTGGAAAGGTATTTTAAGAAAATAAAGGTTTTTTTTATTAACGTCACAAAACCCTAAAGGTATTCTATTTACGGTAGTTTAGGTACAGTATTTATTTCTTGACCAAGATGGTCTAGGAGTTGAATTGAAAATCCTTTGGGATTTCGCAGCAATAATGAAAAACCCTTTAGGTTTTTTAAAATAGTAAAAGGGTTTATATATCAACCCTTTGGGTTTAGTAGCGGAAATGGAATACCTTCAGGGTCTTGTGATATTCACAAAAAACCCTGTCTTTTCTTAAAACACTTTTCCAAAAAGTATTTTAAAAAACCAAATCGGTTTAGTAACGATACAAAACTCTCAATGGTTTCTCAAACGTGCTACTATACACTTTTGGGTTTAGAAACTGCGTATTTTTTTTAGAGAGCAGGCTGTTTGCAAGAGAAAAAAATTGGATTTTTCAAGTTGTTCTCCTCCAATGGTCACTGGAATGACCAAATGATCTGTATTGGTCTGTTTGCTAAAATACCACACCACAGAACATCATATTCACTTTACATGCTATCCAATAAACAATGATCCATTCTTTATCTAGGAAAGGTCTAATCGTCGAATTCTTTCTAATCAAAGTCACTAAGTATGAGACCGAAGAGGCACATCAAGAATCAATTGCTTTATGATGAACTTTGTTATTAATAACATTCTGCTGTTCTTGAATTAAGTTTGTGTAGAGTGCGCTTATAACCAAAGAAAATAGTGGTTTACTCTGCTCCTGAATAAACTTTTGTTTCATTGTTGATAATTATGTCTAATACCAGATCAGAGGCTCTTTGTACAATATTACCAACTACTTATTAATAATTATGTACCTGCTCGCTGAATTTGCTCTGCTCGACCTTTTCGGGATCAAGGCGAATACGGGTGATAATCAATTGTACACTTGGCACAATCCTGAATTTATTATAATTCATTATGATTTGTGTTTAAAACAGTAACAATAACACGACAAAAATGTAAATCGGTGTAAGAAATACTTAAAGTAACGGACATCGTGAAAACTGAATGAATGAAAAGACAAATAAAAAAGACAAGTGATAATTTAAAAGAAAACGCTACATCTATCAATATAGTTATTAAAAATTCAAAAATGCCAGCAAATACAGAAATGTAAACACAAAATTGTCCTTTCTATGCACATTAATTGACTGTATTTGATTCCACCCTTTGAGTCACAGCCGAATTTGAAATCCAAACAGTAAGGTTTGATAACTTCCGAACAAATATTAAACTTGTTCTCTTTCTTGTTCTCTTAGTTGTTCTCTTAGTTGTTCCCTTACTGGTTCTCTTAGTTGTGCCCTTACTGGTTCACTTACTGGTTCTCTTAGTTGTTCCCTTACTGGTTCACTTACTGGTTCTCTTACTTGTTTTCTTACTTGTTGTTTCTGAAATATCATGATATGCTGTAATGGAAGGATTTCCACATTTCCAATGAATATAAAACCGTTAGTTTCAAATTCTAAACGAGTTTGATAAATGGACATTTTATGATCTAGAAGTAACGGTATATTCGCATCTTCTGCTCGATATTCAACGACGACTATTCGACCATTGGGTTTTAATGCTTTTCGAAGTCCTCTCAAGGTAGCTGGTGGATTTGAACATTCATGATACGTATCAACCATTAAAATAAGATCAAAGCTATTATGTGGAAGATTTGGATTGTCAGCGGTAGACAGCACCGGACGAATATTGTGCATACCATAATATATGGCGTTAATGGTGAGTAATTGTAACATCGATTTCTGTACATCGGTACTAAAAACGATGCCTGTTGGTCCAACGCGTTTGGCTATTTGAAGACTTGTATATCCCGTTCCCGCACCAACATCAGCCACAATCATCCCCGGTCGAATATTAAGAACATTCAGCATCAAATCTGGTCGTTCTTGGAAAGCACGTTGACTTCGAGATAGCAATGCAGCGTCACTAGACGGCATCACTTGACCAATGAGACGACCCATGTAATAGTTTCTCATAGGCCACATATTCCATTCAAAGTAGGGAAAATAAAACTGTTGGTTGTACATCATGCTAAAATCAAACACTTTTATCCTGTGGAAAGTTCAGTTGTTATTACTGTTTTCCTCTCATCGTAAAAGATACTGTCTTCTTATAGTGCACTATAGTCAAAACAACACCTTACCGGTTAGTTTAAATATTAGTTAATAAATTACAGTTTCGAAAAAATAAATCAGATCATCTGAAGATTGATCGACACATTTGTTCAACATTTTTTTCTCTTAAATGAACCTTGATGCGTGTTTTGGTTTCTTCATTGCAACATATTCATTAATAAAACAACATCATGCATCAGTTTTTAAAAAGAAAAGTTTATAGCACATATAAATCGATAGCGATTGCCCTTCGATTCGAATAAAATAATGAACTGTCGCCCCAAAATACTATTTATCTATTCATGCATCCTTTTTAGAATAAGTCTTCCAGTCGTGTTTGACCTCTACATTTGTGTACATACCAAGAAGCGATGTAACCGATACTCATAGTTTGCATCTGTATCATCCGTAAGGACAATTTTATGCAAGTAATAGAACAAGAACTTATTTATCTACAGTGCACATCTACCGATCAACTATATACTCTAGCATAATCAATAGCTACGTTATTCATGGTTTGGCGATCGATACTGGGATCATGCATCTTCCTTTCAAACCAATATTGAAATAAAACAAGGAATCAAATGGCACAAAGAGCGTTTATACAAGTCAAGGTTATCTTGCCAATGAGTCGTCTTTCAATCAAACTTCGTTTATAGATTTTTATTCAAGACTGTTTTAGATTCTGTTGTTTATTCAATAGTTCACTTATTTTCTGATCGTCATGACTTTCTTTTTTTTCAATTGTATTTCATTTTTTTTTCGAACGCAAAAACAGCGTTTTCGTGGTTTTTACTTTTTCATACTCTTAGACTCATGGTGTTACCTGTTGTACCATTCACAGGAATTTTAGGTACAGTTATTAGACCACAAAGGCTATTTTCTCCTTCGATGACTTGTTCACTGAAGAAGAGAAATTTTTCAATTTTTTTTGCAGAAAATTATTATTTTGCATAAACTACGGCTAGAGCACATAACAGTCACCTTGTGTGATCAATTCTCCGAAACATTTTTCTTCATATCACCCTGAAATGTACATCTCTAGATCCAAGTTCTGACGGATCACTAACTTTAAAAGGTCTAAATTTTTGTTAAAAAATATTTTTCGGTAAAACCTATGTCATTCGATTCACTTTTTGATGCTGATTCTGAATGTGTGCATGCAAATTGATTTTTGATAGTGTAAATAGCAGAATACGAGTGCGTTTTCTTGTTTTACCATTGCTAAACCCATCAAAAACTAAGTATTTCTCAGTTTTAGACATGACGCAGTCTGATTTTCGGTTTTTTGAGACGTGCGTTGGATAGAGCATAGAAAGTTACATCGCCTATCAAGTTTTAACGTTGTTAGAAGTATTCTTTGGATCACTGTAGTAAAAAACACAAAGACCAAGCGTTTATTCCACGATTTTGGATTCAAACTCGATTTTATGGCAACTTAATCAAAATTTGAACACTTTTAACATACTCTGAGAGAGAGCACATTTTTACATATATATCACACCTTTTAAGAATTTTAAAACGCTTTTCTCAGGTCGAGGGTAAGAGAAACATAGTTCAAGATGAAATTTACTGCCATTCAGTAAAACTCGTTTTTCTCCATGAAGTTTTCGCGATAGAAAACATTTCTCTTATTTGTATACAACATAGATATTCTTCCATTAAACTCTGTAGCAACCAGACAAAATAGAACATTAAATTCTTTACATAATGATTTGGTTCGAATGAAGAAATAACAATTTTAAACAAATTTTAGTGAACAAATGAGTTCTTCTCGGTCCACGGCCTTTGAAGTGATGGATTTTAAAAATGGAAAAATAATTCTAAAATTATAGTTTCAATTGTGACACCATGCTAGTATGTGGTACTTTCTACTAATGTAATCGAATTACCATGTTTCTATCACGAACGTTAATAAAATTAAAATATTTTCTTTAGAACTCGATCAATTCAACACCTATGTAAAAATTACGTCTCAAACGCGTTAAGAATGGCACATCAATGAAAACGCGCCTAGAACGCATTTGTAATCAGATAGGTTTCGATGCATCCATATGTTTCATTCTGAACGCATATTTTCAAACGCAAACATTCACATGTAGTTCAATTTAGGATAGTGTTTGGAAAATAAAGAAAAAATGATTTTAATAACTGAAGTTTTGGTCGAATTTAGTTCGAATATGGCATAATCCGAGCAATTAAACTATTTTTCATTCAGTGCATGCCTACTCAACAGCGGTTTGTATTTCTGCGGTGGGTTCAGGGTTATCATTCGTTTCATTTTTAGTGGGAAGTTTTTGGGAGAATTTTGTAAGTAATCCCATCTAGATATTTGTCCCACTATGAATCATTTTTTACAATTTGCCTTACCTTGCGCAAAGAAGCCACAATCGTAGTTGATGACAACAGTATACGTGCCTTCAATGCACAACTCTAGTTCGTTTGCGTATAATAAACAGTAGAATTTTGAAAGACGGTATGAGTAAGACTGCTTCCTTGAGATAGCATTCATTTTTGTTTAGTTGCATGCGTGTTTTTTTGGATAAAACGGTGGTGGAGTTTTTGTTTACTTTTATCCCATACTTATAAAGAAAGAAAGTTGTTTATAACTTCTAACTGACTAATTTTGTTCTAGAATTGTTTCACTTTTGACTTGATAATCCTGGATATGGAGGGATGTCACAGTTCCTAAATATTCAGAAATCTACCTCGCTCCCATCAGAACCCAACCTTACTTCACGCAATAGCTTAAAAATTGAACAATAATGACACAGAACTGAATATGGAAAAGCACATAGTTTCATGTAATCTACTGAAATTAAGCAGAATTGAACCTCATTTCATCAGAATTGACCATTTTCATAGCAGAATTGAAAAATGGTGAGACAAAATTGGATATGAAAGGGCAGGTTTGCGCTCGCATGATTTTTAAAACACTGGGCTTCGGTTCAGAAATATTTATTTGTTACTCACTCTCATGCTGTACCTCTTCTCCTCCCTCTAAAGATTGTCTATATTGTCAGGAGTGCTGAGGTATTAGAAGTATGGCTTTATGTGATCTTATGGCTCATAGGAGTATTCATTAATACGGCACAATAGGCTATTCAATTCTGCTAGATTTGTATTCAGTCCTATTGTAAATTCTGCTATGAAAATGGTAAATTCTGATTTACTCGAAAATATCTCTTTTTCATACACAGTTCTGCTTAACTTTCAATTCTGTTCAACTGTCTAATGTTCTTGATTCTGACGTTTGTTTTAATTTTGCTATGTGTCACCTAGAATTCTGAATCTGAAAGAACTCAGCCACTGATGTGGGTATGTCATATAAAAAATCTTAGTATAAACGTATGTTAGACGTGTAACATAAGCATATCCTAAATTAAGACAAATGTTAAACTCTAAGGTTGGCTTAAGTCAATAAAATAATGATGCGCCCGCCATACAGCAAAAAATAACGTTTATTTTTTTTTGTCTTCGGTAAACTTAAGTTTATGACCTTATCTTAGATTCAATTATGATTAAATTTTTATACTAAGATATCTACAGAAACAGCGCCCTTTATAATGTAAAATAGTAAATATTTCGGTGTCGCTAGCAGAGTTGCCAGATGGTCCGGAATTTTGCGGGCAAATTCCGCTTTCTGTAGTTTTTTCCGCAAAGTGTCCGCTGTCCGCAATTTGTCCCGCTTTTCGAGGATTGTTTGTTTTTGTCCCTTTTTCTGCAATGAAGATTTTTACATTTTCTCATAAAAAATTTAGCGCCTTCGGCGGTTGAATGAACTGTCAAAACAATAGCTTTGCAACTTTTATAAAACAGATGCGCACTGTTTTAGGAACCGAATCAGAAATTTGCCCTGGACGTGAGCGCTAACAGAAAAACATTAGCTTGTCTCAAGTGCCGCTGAAAGGGAGTGTGAAAAATAGTGAAATAGTAAACCTTCAAGGGAATCAACTCGGTGAGAAAATCTTAATCACCAAGTGCTGTTGTAGGCGGAAAAGTTTCGAATTAAATTTTATCCTACCATACATAACTCTTCAAATTTATGACGGCTGATCAAAAACACGCATCCACAAAAGCCAGTATCGAGTCAAATTGGGATTTAAACGATGTTTTGTACTTCTTTTGTGTTTCTTAAGTGGAACCACCATAAAGCACTAGAAAAAAACTTTTGATACCCTTTAGGTTTGGTGAAAAATGCGTTTTTGCTTTTTTCCCGTATTTTGAAAAGAAATTCCGTTTTTTTTCCGCTTTTTATTCCGCTTTTCTGACCTAAGCATTTGGCAACAGCAAGCAAGAAAACAAAAAAAGAGATTCGAAAATTTTAAATTCGCGCCTAAATTTTTCTAGCGCTTTCATCCAATAACTTACGTTTTTCGCAAAACAAGTGCGTGAAAAGAAATTTTTTTCACTATACTAGTATAGTCTACAAGGCTATTACTTCCATTCAGTTCGCATTATTTATTGGTTTAGATAAGATAGGAGCAAACCTGGGAGTAAATAACTATAATCAACGCTAACAGCGACGCCAATTACATTACGTCGATTGCAGTGATTCTCTCCCGGCATTTGTATTGTATTATACTTGCTCCTAGCGTATCTCAATACTCAATACTTTATTTATTCTTGTAGGTTAACCTAGAAAGTGAAATGGTGGATTGACCAATGGCAGAACAACAAAAATTTTTTTGTTTTTTTGAGTTATCGAACTTATACAAAATTATTATGACCTCTATATCTGTATCTTCATAATCTTTCCGTTGTGAAAATGAATTTTGATGAAGAAATTTGGTAAAATTAACGCGACGTCTTTTTCTCTTTCTAGAGTAAATAGCTTTCGAACTTTCTTTAAAAGTTTGCGGAATGGACTTTGGGGGCATAAGGTTCTGGAATTTAAGATGACCTTTTTTGTCATTTCACGACAATGTCATTGTAATTTACATTCTGACTCGAATATCATCCATTCATCTGATGATGAGATACATTAATAAAATACAGGTTGTACCTCGGTTAAGTGGCTACTCAACTAACAACTATTTAAGCATCCCTTAACCTTATTTTTTCTTATGCACAACCATGATACTTTTCCACTGGTTTTGTTTTTATTTGATAGTACGATATTTTTTCGATTATCGCCAATGTCACAAGCGTTTATCTAGAAATTTTCAGACAGTTCTATTTGCTTTATAAGCCCCGTTATTGTGGAAAAAAGACTCGTATGTCAGAAATTAGTACTGAAAATGTCTAAATGGGAAAACGGACATTAGATTTTGTGATCAAGATCAATAATGACCTATAGAACACTATCTTTCTTGAAGAAAGCTAGCAGATGCTTTGATATGTTTCATACTTCGTTTTATCTACCAGTACTTATGTCATTTTATATTGGAAGCATATTTTGAGATCGTCGAAACAAATGAAACGATTATTACTACTTTCACATTTGGTTCAAGCAAAATTTCAAGTTCGTCCACAATGTCGATTTTTGCATATAAAAGCAGAACCAAACGAAACTATTATACCTCTTTCATCATTTGATTTCACTAAACCTACGGTCGGTCGTACATCAGGTGAGAAAATAAGAACGAAGATATATATTCATGTGTCGTCTTATGTTCTTTCCTTAATTTTTCTTCAGCCGAACAACAAGCATTAGCACTATTAGCTCCAGATATGCCAGAAAATCCCGAGCTAATTAGAGTGGCTATTATCGGTGCTCCAAATGCTGGAAAATCTACGTTTGTGAATCGCATTATGGGATGGAGGGTGAGGAATAGTAAACAAACAGCGTTTTCCAAGTAATTTTTTTAAAATCAATGTCAGACGATTGAAGACAAAGATGTGATATACTTTTATTGAACTATGACTTTTTTCCTTTAGATTTCATCAGTATCGAAAAAACCTCACACAACTCGACATCGTATAACTGGTGCTTTAACAGATGCAAATAAACAAATTGTGAGTATCACGAAAGCATCTATTTGTAGTGTTACTATTTGAGATGTCTATTTTAAGGTATTTTTAGACACGCCCGGAATCGTCTCTCCATGGAGAAAAAAACGGTAAGATGCCAACCTTTTGTTCTTCAAACATTTTTTTCTCTTTTTCATCTTCAAAAATTGATCATCTGTTCGTGTATACAACATTAAATAATTGGGCTATAATAAATTTTCTCTTTCTGCTGTTTAGACATAATCTGGAAAAATCGATGATATTGGATCCGCATTCTTGCTTGTGGGATGCTGATTTGAGTTAGTATAAATACTTGATAAATTTATTCGTTGTGTTATTACTTGGCTTTACTTTTAGTTGCCGTTGTTCATGATGTCGGTAATTCGTATATACGGTTTAAATTAGACGAAGAACTGTTAAAATGTCTTTATGCGCATCCAGAGAAGGAGGCTATATTGATATTGAACAAAGTAGGTAGTTAACTCATAAACGTCATCTACATCTTATTTAATGTTGTTGTTCTACATGTAGACGGATACTATTAAGCGAAAACGGATGCTATTAGATGTAACCACGGTGTTAACTGATGGTTCATTAAATGGAATTCCTTATCGTCTGGATTCACCTTATCATCGTAATGGTAAACTAGATATGGAACGTTTATTTTTAAAAACAGCTCATGAAATGAATATTCCATTACCCAAGAGTGAAAAAGATTTGATGAAAGAACAATTACTATTAGAAATGAAACAGTATGAAGAAAAACTACTTCAAACAACACTGGACGATGTCAATTTAGATTTAACAGATGCCGATGTTAAACAATTAGTTCAACAACATCAAGAAAATTCATTAACTTTAGAAAAATTACAAGATAACTTTGAAAATGTCCCATATAAAAGTATCAATGATATTTCACCATTTGAATTTAAAAATGATTTAATGAGTACTGATAACTGGCATTTGTATTATCAAAAATTATCACAAATTCGAAAATTTACTTCTCAACGTTCAACGTGGCCATATTTTAATCAAGTATTTATGATATCAGCGAAACAAAATCATGGAATAGCTGCTGTTAGAGTAAGGATAAATTTATAAAAGATTAAAACAGAAAATATTAATAATCTGTTTCTATTTGTTCATAGAAATATTTATTTACACGTACAAAACCTGCACAATGGATGTTTCATAGAAATTTTGTTACCGATCAATTACCACAAGAAATAGCTGAAACATGTATAAGGGAAAAAATGCTAAACTATTTACCAGAAGAAATACCATATAGCTATATTATGGTAGGTTTTATTTTTCATTCAATAGAATATAAAAGTTTGACTCAAAGCATAAGTTTATGTTGATTCACGGATGAAACGTCCGAAGTATTTTGAGGACTTGATTTAATCTTTTTCTTGTTCCAAATTCTTAAAGAAACCGCTAGCATTTTAGTGCGATACTTTGTAGTAAGGTTAGTAGAATTCAACCAAATAATCTTATCAACATTTTTCTTATTATTTTAGAGGAATGAATTGTGGGAAATGAATGAAAATGATGTATTGAATATTGTTTTTATTGTATATCCACGTGAAAAACGTTTAAAACGTGATGTTGTAAGTTCATCTATTGATGTACTTGTTTGTCTCCTATTGTGCTACTTTATTTTAGTCTGCACTATTGAAAAATCATGGTGAAGCAGTTAAAATGATTAGTATCGAAGCAGAAAATGATTTATCAATGACATTTCGTTGTGATGTCAAACTAAAATTAATTGTGAAAACAAAATACGATTAAAAATGTTGTGCTCTTTTTATTTCTTATTCAAAAACAGATATGGGACGATTGGGCAATATTATTTTGTAAAAATTTTGATGCTCGTGTTTTGTTTTCGAAGAAAATTATTTTTTATGTGTGTTTTTATAAGTAAACACCTGAAAACAATATTTTTTCTATCTCATAAATAATCCTGTGGTTTGAGTTCATAGTTTATTGAAAGTATTTCTTTTGTATGTACACTAAAATATGTTTGTTTTAGAGAAGAGTTTCAAATTATGTCAGACAAAGAAATACACTTATATTATAAAACTATTCTTGATTTGGTATCATTATGTGGCAAAGTAAGACGAAAATAAATCTTTAATGGAACTTATTATTTGATCATTCGGCTCTGATTTTCATGAGTCCATGACAAATTATCGAAAATATTTTCGTTGAACGACTTTTCATTGCAAGGACTTTTCATCGACCGACATTTCGTCGCATTGATGTTCTATTGAATTTTCCTAGATAACTAAACGATAATCACAAAGTAAATAAAAGTACACTGACTGTAAGTAGCCTGAGTTGAAGGAGGGTTTAGGAAATGCAAGTTAATTCTTCGACATGTGACATAATGAAATACAGATATAAAGTAGAGTAGAAAAAAGTGCCTTTAAATGTTGTACGATTTGAACATGATCATAGAAGAACAGAAAGGTAGTAGAATATAACTAGAAAAAAAAATATAACAATAGAAAAGTTATTATAATTGGCAGTCATAAAAGTTGATAATACATCATTGGTAGTTTCATTAGCGTTCTTGCTGTCTCTTTTAAATTATTCATTAAATCGTGAACCTCACTTTTGGCAGCATCTGCGGGATGACCATGATCGAATTTTGGTTGTTGAACAATAGAATCATTAATATTTAATGTATGAATAAGAACGTTATATCTTTTTTTTGACCAATAATCTTTACATTTCCAATATGTTTTTTCATCAGATTTTTTTCCAGTTACGTATTCATAATCATTAAAATGCAGCAAACGTTTGCCTTTAGTTGCTGATAAAAAACTGGCCATACCTATAATGAAATTTTATTCCGAAGAAAATTTATGAAAGTGATGGAATGTTTTGCTTTTGACCATAACACCCTCGTATAGAGAATCATGTAAAAAGGATGACAAACAATATGACATATATACATATACTGCTTTATTAACTTTTTAAAAAATCGTTCTGTTCTTTTATGATCACGGTCAAATCGTACAACCTTTAAAGGCACTTTTTTCTACTCTACTTTATATCTGTATTTCATTATGTCACATGTCGAAGAATTAGCTTACATTTTCTAAACTTTCTTCAACTCAAGCTACTTACAGCTAGTGTACTTTTACTGTACTTTTGTTTACGTTGTGATTATCATTCAGTTATCTAGGAAAATTCAATAGAACATCAATGCGACGAAATGTCTGTCGATAAAAAGTCCGTGCGATGAAAATACTTTCGATGATTTGTTGTTATTCCGATTTTCATCATTTAGAAAATCCCTTTTCTTAAACGAAAAACAACGCGCTGAAACTTTGGCAAATATCTGAATATTAAAGTTAAAGTCTATTTCTTGTTCTATTCTCACTTCTATGCGTCTATTATTATAAGGAATTTTTTTCATGTCTATTTCTTCCTTGATATCACTTATTTACATGCAATGAAGTGAATGACAGTATATATACTGCAACATGAATTATTTTCTTCCTGCAGAATGATAAAGTCAATAAAAAAAATTCAATATGAGGTATACTGTTTGCATCGTCTTCCTACTTTGGTATGATTCTAAAACCGGACATGAACATTTTTTCGAATGTTGTATTACTGTTCAGATTCAGTTTAGCAAGAATTGTTTAGGGCACTTGTAACTTCCTTGTTTGTTCTGTTCTTTACGTACACACTGTCTCATCGATTCTAGTTGCCTAGTTATTTTCCCACCTAAAAGTTTGTTTTTGTAGTGGATTGTCGGTTCTTTCGTTTCAGGTTGTTCGAGAAGGCTTTTCGGTAGCAAAACGAATTGAGACGAAGGCATGTGCTGCTGATCTTGTCACTGAATTTGATCAACGTGTTGAAGAAATCTTAATTACAAAACTAAAAGAAAAATTTCCATCGCACAAGTTAGTAAAAATATTTCTTATGAGTTGTACAGTGGTTTTTATTTTAGTGTTTGTTTAGATTCATTGGTGAAGAATCCGCTGCAGGTGGAGCAAAACAACCGTTGACAGATGATCCTACCTGGATCATTGATCCAATAGATGGAACAACCAATTTTGTTCATGGGTAAGTATGAGTTGCTATAACTTAATACGATATGATTGTTATTATTTCTTTGTAGCTTTCCATTCATTGCCATATCTGTGGGACTTGTTATTAAAAAGCAGGTTTATAAAATACTAAAAGAGTGAAGTTCAGCTTTATCATTCAATTATTTTACTATTTTAGGCAGAAATTGGTGTGATTTATAATCCAATATCAGAAAATCTTTATTCAGCTGTGAAAGGAAAAGGGGCATTTAAAAATGGACGACCAATTCAAAGTTCACAACAAACGGGTAAACAATGTCAGAAAACATACGGAAACAATAGTCGACAGTGTTTTCATTGTTTTATTTAGAACTAGGGTTGTCTCAAGTATCTGGTAAACGCAAAACAGCAATCTAGTCAATGTGGTTTTGAGCATGTTTTCTATTTCCATTGTATAGGCGAATATGGTAGTTCGCGTGATCCACAAATTCTTCAAACTAAAAGTGAAAATTTGCGAAAGATAGTCGAACGAGCGCACAGGTAGTGTGTCTACATACCTTTTATCTTTTATATATCAAATGTTATTTATTGTTTAGTGTACGTGCAATTGGTAGTGCTGCACTTAATCTATGTCATGTGGCTGAAGGATCTTGTGATGCTTATTTTGAATACGGTATTCATTGTTGGGATATTGCTGCTGGAGATTTAATTGCACGAGAAGCTGGATGTTTCACTTCGGATCCAACAGGTAAAAATAGTGTGTTACAGAGCCTGAAACGAATCAAGAAAAGTGGATTTCATTCGATTCAGAACTACGTTTTCAAAACCTAAATCGATTGAATTCGACTCACATCAATGAAAATTGAAACGTTCTCTTTCTTTGTTTTCAAATGTTCGTTCAGAATAGACGGTCTCGAATTAGCACATTTGAGTAAAACATATGATTTATGTGAGTAGAACTTCTAAACATCCCACGAAATAATTCTGATACCCTGACACAAGTTAGCGGACATTACAAACTCTAAGTTATTAAAACGGCAGAATATGAAACATTTAACGCTGTTTTAACGTATTAAGCTACTTATCTAACGAATTAGAGCTTTTTAATCTTCATGAAAGAATGGACTTGAATGTAATTTTCATCTTTTTCTTATAAAAGCGCGTTTGAACGCGTTAGAATTAATTCCTAGATTTTTCAGGTCCTATCTAAGCTAAAAAAAATGGATTTTACATGTATTCGACAGCAATTAACTCGTGTGCCTTTGGTAAATTAATTTTTTTAACGCACGCTAACGTACATTGGGATGTCAAAATTATCGCGTGGGATTAATCGAAGTAAAACAAGCAAAGAAAAGAATATAAACAAGAGAAATCTTCCTCACACGATTAGTATTCCTGTTTATTATTTTCGATCAAACGTAAAAATATCTGTTGATTATCGATTGATCTAAGGATGAGGAACGCTGGGAGCAAAAATTCAGTTCGATTCGATTTGTTTCAGGGTACCTTACGATCAGGCCCATTGTCAACAAAGTGACACACTGAGGTCTTGCTTTACCTACTCTTCTACAGTATGCATTTTTAGTATAGCAAGCGGACATCATATTTTGTTTGCGAATCAATCTGCGTAATTATCGTTCTCTGATTGCAACAAAAACCAGCATTTTAAAATGGTTAATGTTTTCCGAAAATCACCGTGGAGACCAGAGTTGGGAGAAATCGTGTCGTCGTCCTGTTTTGCAAGACGGGACATAACATTAAAAAAAACAATGTCACCCACCTCTGGTTGAAGCAAAAATTTCTACCTCAGTTTTTTTCTTGCAAAATCCATTGATTCGATGTAGTTTAATGAGCTGATTCCGTTTTGACTGAAAATATTTTACATATGAGCGAAAGAGGATTCAACATGACAATTCTTTAGATTTGCGAGGTTCAGGAAAGTTTGCGCTGACGTCATCAATGTGATAGACTCAGGACGATATGTATGTAAACTTTGAACGAGATTGGTTGTTGGAAAAACTTGGAAAACTCAGTCACAGTAAACTGTAGGATTTTCATATAAGTATTAAAGGAAAAAACATTTTTTGTACAGAAATCATGAAATCTTACAATTAATTTTTCCTAAAATGTCCGCTGGACTACATACTGTGTGTTTACTTGCCGAGAACGTGGAAGAAAGTCCAAGAAGAAAAAAAATGCAAAAGTAAATATCTGTTTGCGTAGATTCTTCATTCAATATAATCGCGGTTAAGATATATTTTTATGCACGTGTAAACTTTTTTCTTCTACAGGAGATCCATTGGATATAATGAAACGACAAATTTTATGCACCGCTACAAAACAGTTGGCTATGCAACTTATACCTTTGCTTACTCATGTTGATTTTCCCAGTGATTAAAGATTATTACAGTTACTACAAAGATGATTTTACGATTTTATCGAATAATAACTATGAATATCAAACACGTATAAGGTTTAAATAAAGCTATTCAGCTTCTTTTTTGTATTAGACATATTAAACCTTCTGGGATTGTTGCTAAACTTTCAGTGTTGAATTTTATTTATTGATTTTAGTTTTATCTAAGCTGGAAAATATTTGTACAGAGTCAGACTGGAATATTATTTGTTGACCACTTTTTGTTCTTCAAACATTTTTGTCTCATTTTTATCGCATTCGACTAGAACAGTTTCCATTGTTAAAGAAAAAAACGCTTAAAGATATTCATCAGATGAAGTTTTATGGAAGAACTTTGAGTTTAGTAGTTCTATCTTCCATGTTATCTATGTCTAGATCAATTTATTTTTATTTGTATGTTTTATGTTTTTCTCCAACGTAATTCCTTGTTTGTGATTAATACTAAGCACTTAAACGAAAGTTTATGGATTGGATTCCAGTAAAATCAAGCGTCATCAGTCTTTTATTTAAAACTGTTTATACGAAACATGTTTTTCCCAATACTTAACATCTTTTTGTTTCTTTTAGATGACGTTCAATACTATTACTAGTATTCTAGCGTTTGTTTCATTCTACATCAAACATGGCATTATCAACTATCAACAATATCATCATCTTCTGATACAGTGATATACGGACAACTGAATAATTTATGTAGACAATGTGTTTATTGTGATAACGAACAAACATGTGTTGTGCTTTTAGAAGCCAGCATGTTTTCTTGAAAATGGAGATTTTAGAAATATTTTAAATCTGCTGGTAAGTGTAGAAGATTATGTTACATTGTTAGTAAAATTAAATTAAATTAAAAAAATACAAACTTTCATTAGACGATGGAAATCAAATTTTGTTTTAACCAAGTTTTTTCTTTGTTTAAATTTATGAGCATTGGTTCTCTGATATGATCAATGTTACGCTGTTTTCTTCTTATTTGTTTTGCTGTGGAGTTTTAGCATTAACGAATTAGATGTGCAAGGAAAAGATTTGAAATGAATAGTGGAGATGTGATGTGTAATCATAATACAACATGAAAAATGTTTCTAATAAAATCTGTTAAACTATTAGATATAATCAATTATAAAACCAATAATAGCAACTTCAGTTGAACGATTGATCAAAGAAGAGTTTCAACCTTAAAATATTGTAATAATATAGTTTTCAACGAACCTGATTTTAAACAGATGAAATATACTGAACAGAAGGCAATGTAGAAGACAAAGAACAAAGGAAACTTTTATTCTCAACTTTTTAGAAAAAAGTGATACTTATTCGAAATACTTTATGTTGCATAACAATACATATTAACCTTTTTAATAGCGTACGATAAGTTGAGAATTAGATAAATGCAGATGAGGTGGCATCATTTTCAGATAGAACTTTGAAAAAAAATATTGTCGATTTGACAATTTTTTATCCTGTGTTAAAAAGAAAAACACACCGAGGAAAAAGAGCAGCAGATATTTGCCCTTTTGAATGGATTAAATTGTACAATATCGAATGGAATATATAATGTTTCCTACTCTTTTTTTTTTTCTACTCTAAAATGCGTTTTATTCTTGTACAACTGATCAAATTACAAACAGAAAAATTATAATTTGATTAGCTGTTGTGAACGATCATTGATAAATAATGTTTGGAACATATAATAGTTTATTAGATGGTACAGGAGGAAATATGTACGGTGCTTACTCTGGTTGTTATTCATGGGAAATAATTGAATATTATAGTAAGATTTTGTCTATGCTGTTTTTTGGCTTGTCAAATGCTATGAAGTTTTTTATATTTGAGAACAAGATTATCAATATATGTCTATGTAATTGATGACACTCATCTGTAATGAGAACGAATTCAAAAACAAATTATTTAGTTCTACAACTATTATATGTTAGCATCCTAGACTCGTTAACAGTACATATCAAAAGAATTATACAAAGATAAATCGAACATTCATACAATAATGTTAATTCTGACTTTATAACAGTTTTTTCTTCTTAAAATTCACGATCGCAACAGTTTTTTATACTGTTCATAGACATGCGTTAACGGCGTTTGCTTAGTGTTTCCGAGCATATTTATAATGTTGAAGTAGAAATAGTATTTTTTGTGCTTTTGACACCCTAGTTCCTTCTATGTTCGAGAAAGCCAGGAGATTTTAATATATTCGTTTCTGAAGTATTCTAGAGTATGCTAATATGAAACTGTGGCGCTAATTTGGTATGTTTCATCCTTCCACTACGATTATAATTATTTGTTTCCTTTAGGAAATGCTAAAATTCTATTAATCGTCCTGTGTTCGATTGGAGGCGTTTTATTAATCGCACTCACCATAGTTATTTGGTGTATTTGTCGAAGTTGCAAAAATCGTTCTAAATCAAAGTAAAAGAGAAATTTAATTTAATCCCCAGAACTTATGTTGTATGTCTTTAGAGAGCTATACCGACAAGTTGACAATCGAGCACGTACGGATAAACAAAAAGCAGTAAACCACGTTCAGTAAGACAACAGCAAATGATTTTTGATTGTGTAAAATACATGCTACTTTATGATTGTTTAGAGTAGCCGAACGAAGAAATGTGACTGATCAACTACGAATGAAATATGGTAAATAGAAATAAGTAAAAGTACAATAAGTAGGAATGTTTGTTTTTACTGGTAAATTTTAGCAGATACGGAGAATAGAAAGAAAATTGACAATGATCCTGCGTTAGCATCAGCTGATCGTTTGAAAACAACCGTTTCTGATGAGTTTTTGCAACAATTTCCATAATATTGATTTTCATCTTACAAGAAAACATGAATGTAAGGATATTTCGTTTCATCTCACAGTGACATAATGTACAACACAATAGTTATAAAATATCTAGTTTTCAATACATAGTGAATAAGACGAGTATCTTTGTGTAGAGTCCTGTTTAGATTTGATTTGAGAAATAGAGCATACAGCCGGTGATATTAACGAATCTAGTTTTTATTCTTCGGATGGATTATATGCTATTTTTTGTGCAAAAATGTGTTTTTAAAGTAATCTATCCGCTCATTTTCACAATTTCTTTTGCAATGTTCCTTTCTAAATTTATGAATATTCAGCTTTTTGAACAAAGATCTTTGTTGTAATCTTATGTCTGATATGTACGTTATTTGTTTTTTCAAGAGGTCTATCTAAATCACTAACTATGAATAAACCTAGATAGAACGGACACCATTCACTTGTTTTTGTAGTTTGTTTAATATATCTTTATGCAACATATTAATTAACTGACTTCATTTCCTTTTTTCCTTTTATAGGCATGCTGAAAAACAAAGAGAGTACAAAATATAAATCAATGGCCTAAATTATTGGTTCCCAATGATAAATTTAATTAAACAAACTTTTATATAAAATTTTAAATAGCAAAAGCAGTTGTTTTTTTTATAAATTTCAATGACTAGGTGAGCATTGAGCAAAACATCTATACTTTCGTACGTTTTTGTATAACAGAAGGATTCGGTCTACTATCATTTTTTCTCATAATATGTTTAAATGATAACTACCATATATTTTCTTTTATTGAAAAGCTGTGATTGTATCATTTCTTCGTTCTGTCATTTATTCTATACACTTTATATGTTCCTAACATTCCAGTCACTTTTACTTATTTTTTTCCATTTTGGTTAATATTACTTATTTATTTCCTCGTTATTTGTTGTAGTTAAATTCATACGAAATATCATATATGAAATCTGTCAAGTTTCGTATTTTATCATGTTTACTTTTTCTCTGTTTTTTTTCTACCTTGTACGATTCATTACGTAATAAAATATTTTATTAATTGCTATGGCTGATGTTTTTAATGTAGATCAATGCGATCCATGTATTGTTTATAAATTAATATTTTAAAATTAAAGAAAGTAGAAACTAATGTAGGACTCATTAAATTTACAGTTTTTGCCAAACGCGGATAAATCCTAAAGGTCGACAAGATTTGAGTTTGTAAAAAAAATGTGCTCATATATAATTAGGTCATGCGACACTTTTGTGGCCAAAAAATTGTCTGAAACAAATACTGAATAGCTGAAAAAACAAGAAATGCATAACCATATTGTTTAGTCTTGAACGTTACTTTTTTATATGTGTTTTTGAGATGTGCTCATCTCAATTGATTAAACAATGCCAACATTGGCTTCTATTGAAACCTCCCATCCTTCTCAGGTTGTCATCAGCAATACCACAATCATTAATCCTTAACCGAAAATTTTCAACTGAAAAGAAAGAAAAATCATTGGACAACCGCGCTTCTGCTCAAACAAAAGAAAAATCATCGAAAGATACCAATGTATTGATTCAGTTTCAGAATACTAATGGACAAATACAGACAGCAACATTGGGCAAGAAAGGTAGTGTGAGTATTTTTTGTTTTGTATGAGTATACGTTGTTAATAATCATTTTTACCATCTAGCTCAACAAGCAGCAAAGGATGTATCTTACACATTAATTATTGTTGCTGGTATAGGCGCCCTAGGTAAGTATACATGACTGCATATAATATGATAATTGTCTAATTGCTTCATTCTAGGTGGTTTGTGTTATATCGTATTGAGAGAACTGTGGTCACGAGAAACTCCCAATGGCATTTATAAAGAAGCATCAAAACTCTGTTTGGAAAATAGCAATGTACAGGATGCTTTGGGAACTCCAATAATGGTTAGTTCTTTTGTGACCCTCTATTCATGTAGTGGTCACGGATAAATTTTGAAAAACTTTTTTATAGTAAACAGACAAAAGTCTGCGGTGTTCATTATTGTACAGCCAAAACTTAACCTCATAAATGTATGATAAACTTCCAAAAAGTCCAAAGCACCACTTTAAGTGATATATATTACTCTATGAAATAGTAAATGATCATTCAAAGAAGACGCAACGAAGTTTTAATTTCATAGATATGTTCGGAGAATCAGACTGTTCATTACACATTCACGCATGCCCAAATCCTCTATCTATGGTTCTTGGATGGGAACAATTTTTCGAGAAGTCCTTTAAGCCTATAGCTTCATCGGAGTAATCTCGAAAATGGAAGGGAACTATACGTTATCCATCATTCTGAATCTCGTGGCAATAATTTTCATTGAGTTTTATCATTTTTATTTAAAAATGATAAAACTCAGTGAAAATCTGCTTTGGGAAATAGAAACGAATCTTCAGTAATCTAGAAAATCATCATGCTTTGTAGCGTTGTTTTAAAAAGTTGACGGTATTCTAGGAGTAATAATATGCATCTAATGCTATCCTAAGATTCTTCGATTTTTTTCCATACATTTATGAGATTAGATTCTGGTTATACAATGGCAAAAACCACATATCATCACATATCTCTTTCTCTTTGTTATAAAAAGTTATTTAAAAATATCCATGGTCACTATATCTTGAAATGTATGTTAGTATATCGTCTCAATAATAATATTCATATTCTCAGGTACATACCACTCCTCAAATTGGCAGTATGCGGATCAACAATGTTAGAGCCAAACTATTTGATGAGAAAGGTTTGTCGGTTATTTTAATTTTTCATGCACTTTTTTCATTTTGTCATTCGTTTTTTTCGTAGGTCGTAAGAAAATGACATTAACATTCTATTTGACTGGGAAACAACGTTCTGGAGTTGTTGCAGTCAAAGTAGAAAAGGTATTGTTGAATTAATATTGTTTTTCCAATTTTTTCTTGTTTTTTTAAATTTAGAATATTTCAAACCGTTATATTTATGATTATATATTTATTCAATTGGATCGTCCATGGAAAGGTTTCAATGTTATTGATGTTCGAAAATCGGACAGTGCATCTCTCACTGATTCATCATCACCGATTGTAGTTTAAAATTTTATTGAAATTTACCGTTTGACATTGTAAATAGATAAAAAACGACGTTCCGTTTCTTTTCTTTGTCTTTATTCGTGTTTATTCAACTTTTTCTTTTTGGTATCGTAATAAAGAAGAGAGAGCGAGAGAGAGAAAGAATTAATGAAGTAGCTGCTTTTTATGAGATCTGAATATCAAGGAGACACACATACTTCTCACAAAATTAATTTTTGATAGTTTTACAAGAATATATATGTTAAAGTGTTCTTTCAGAATACGTGTTATTTATAGCTTATGATTGATTTCTTTCCGTAAAGTTTTACAAAAATACTCATAACTTAAGTCAAGAAACAGAATTGTCGAACACAACCACAGATCTCTAGTCTTTATACAGGTGTGTAATCCGGAGATAGACAAAAAGGACACATGTCTATTCATTAAGATTCTATTTTGATGTATGAGTTTTTCAATGGCTGTGTTTTTATTTATATTTGTGCTTAACCCCCCTCCCCCCCATAATAGAAGCCTCCCCCATATTAGAAGCCCCCTCTGGAGCAATCGATGTGGAAGGTGTATTAGAAGCCCAGGGGCTTCTATTACGTCGGAAAAATAATTTAAATTTTTTAAACGACATATTTGATCGACACGCGTTTTTTTACTTTAATTGTTCTTGTGTGATGTCGTGTGTAAAAAAAGGAAAC